CTCAAGCAGACTCTGCTCTGAGCGCGGAGCCCCACGCAGGGCTCCATCCCAGGACCCTGAGATCATGACCTGAGCCGAAATCAAGAGTCTGACGCCTAACTGACTGCATCACGCCGGTGCCCCCCAGAGATGGCTTTTAAACTCCTGTGACATTTCAATACTACTTAATGATCTCTCAGTCACCTGGGGTATTCCTTCTCCAAAGCCTGGCACCCGTTGGTGGCTGCCTGGGCTCCACTCCTACCTTTGGCTCCTACCACCTGCGTGACTGTACTGCTCTGGGGCCTCAGGGATCTCTTCTGTAAAATGGGTCTAATAATAATAGTGTCTACCGCCTGATACCGCTGTGAGGATTAAATGCGTCAATATCTATATAAAACACTTAGGACTGTGCCTGACACATAACACACACTGGGGAGGTTGTTGGCGGTTACTTGGGCCAAACCTCTGCAGCTTTCCCCCAGCTCCCATCTCCAGCCCTGAGCCTGGATTCTCAGGCAATGACGTTACTGTTTTCACTGCTGAGGAAACAGAGGCCTCGGCTACAAAGGATCTGGACTCCACTCCACTTCAAAGATTTATATTTCATGAATTTGCATCCCCTCCTTCCTGATCTCAAAGGGCAAAGGGCCCCTCCTCTTGGCCAGTGCTAACGCTCTATTTGTGGCCTGAATTCCTGCTCTTCCCGTCTCCTAAGTCTGGGTCTCCGGGGCGGCCATGCCCTGGGTCACTTCCCTTCAAGGCCACACTTCTTAATTGCAAAGGAAGTGGTAGTTAAAAGACATTCATGGTAGAAAAAAATACAAAGCACTAAAAATAAAAATCACCCAGAATCCCATTTAACTGGCCCCTCTACACCCCGTTGCCACCTGCACAAGATGATCTATTCGTGGATTTCAACACACCATTTCTCTGCTTCAGAACTTTGCAAGGTTTTCTCCACTTCCGGCAGAAGCAAGTTTATCCTCCTTGGTAGGGGCCTGGGCTCTTCCGAGGTCTACCTTTCTATCCTTCCCTCCTACCCAGAGGCCTTTGAGACCTCCCTAAACTTTGCTCCTGGTCCTTCCTCTACCTGGTAAAATTCTACTGGTTATTGAAGCTCCATATTAAATGCTGTCTGTCGGTAATGCCTTCTGTTAACTGTCTCTAGGCAGCAGGCATGTTTCCTGTGTGCTCCGTGGCATTGTGTTCACATTTCTAATAAAGCACTTATCACATCCGACCACCTGTGCAGGTTGGAATTTACATGATTCTCTAGATTCATGGACTTTGGCTGTTGTTGAGCTCAGCGCTCCTGGGAATGGCTGAAACACAGACGATAGACTACTTTCTCGGAGTTGTTCCAATAGGCATTTAACTTACCTTTGGAACTAGCGTATCATAAATGGTCCCAGATATCAATTTGCAACTGGAGCAGGGCATTTGGGGGGAGCTTATCTTGAGAGTGCCTCTATCACGGACGCCTTTCCAGGGGGTGCAGGGGACTCATCTGGGCCAGGTTTTCTGCTGTAGGTTTGCCTTCCCGAGTTATTTAGAATCTGCCGCTCACTGAACTTGAGGTGGTCCTCAAGCTTCAGCAGGTGTTAGAATCACACCCTGGTCGTGGTGGGGGCTGGGCTGAGGGGACTGGAGGTGGGGAAGGAGGAGGAGATGTGGAAATGCAGATGGCTGGGTCCCACCTCCAGAGTTTCTGATTTCCAGGAGGACTGCGGTGGGACCCAGTGATATGCATTTCTAATAAGGGCCCAGGAGACGCTGCTGATTTGGTCCTGGGACCATACCTTTCAGAAAATGGACAAGTGTAAGCTCTGCTTTCCTCCACTGCCCTGTCCTACGTTTTCTCTCTGTTTCTATGGCAATGGCTATGGTTTTCCTTTCCTCATTAGCATCACTACTAGTGACTCCTTTAGTTTTAAAACTGTTTTCCTGCTCCTCCCTGGCTCCCTTCCCCTTCTCCAACCTACGTATTATGAGCACCCAAACGACAAGGATTATGCCAGTATAATTTTTACATCCTTAGTATCAATGACGACTGGCACACACTAGGAGCTTGAATAAATGCGGCAATAATTGGGCTGGGTGTCTGGTTCTGGCCCTGCCATTGAATTCCCTTTTTGGGCAGTGAGTTAAATACTGTCCATTCAATATTTATTATCAGTAAAATAAAGAGAATGATGCTTCAAAGTAGAAATGAATTAGAGCACTGGATTAAAAAAAAAAAAAAGAGTCTGTCTAAAAGGAAGGTTAATTAACAACCAGTTAATTGATAAGGTGGAGGCCATAGCTGCCCCTGGCAGTGGGAATGGTTGACCAGGCAGCCAACAGTCCAGGTGGCCCATGGAGCTGCTTCCTGGGCAGAGAGTACCAAGTTCTGTTCCTTAACTTTTGCCACAAGAACACAGATACTGCAGCATCCATGGGAAAAACCGTCCCCGAAGAATTTTGGTTTGGAGGAAAAAAAATAAGGAAATGTGGGCTCCACACAGCTGCCCTGGCCTAGAGCTTCACTGTATATTAATATAAAGCCTGACTATAAAAATAAATGTCTATCTTTTCTGATTTAAAAAATTCATTCACAAATTAGAAGTTTTGAGAATACAAAAAGTATCCTGGAGGACATAAGTCACCTCTAATATTAATAGCCCCAAATGATCTGCATTTGCGTGTTGAATTATTTTTCATTCCTTCCAATATCTTTCTCCCTCCCCCCTCCCTTTTCTTGGTGACATTTTATGCGGTTTTAGCCTTTACATATTCTGTATCCTGCTTTCAAAAATTAACCTTGTATCATAACATTTTCTGTCATTTTCCAGTCTTCAAAAACATGATTTTTAATCCTTATTTTTTAATTACAATAATAATTGCTGTTCAGGAGACCCAAGGATTCAGAATTGTAGATAATGGGAAAGAGAAATTTTCTCCTTTCCAAATGCACTCCCCAAAGGAAATCACTGCCAAGGGCTTGAGACTTTGGGTGGAGGGGTGGGGGGTGGGGGAGCATAGTCAGTAATTTAAAATTTAAAGCAAATCAACAAATGGGCTTATATCATTCTGCCATTTACTCTTAAAAAAAGATTTAGCAATTTTGTGGTCACTTCTTTTTTACTAAAAATAGTGAAAATGTGATTTATCATAGCTGCTCAATATTCTATTACTGAACACTCATCTCGTTTGGCATTTTTATATTCTAAAGAGTGCTTGAGATGAACATCTTATATATACTTGTTTATAGGAGGTAAGGGTATTTTTAATGGCTCTTACACGCTAAGCAAGCCAGTATTAAGGATTTACCCTCCAAATAGTGCTCTTGACTTTTGTCTCACCTTGACTCCTGACTTCACCCCTCACTCTGGTCAGTCTCTCAAGCCCCTTTGGGTGCAGGCTACAGTGTGGCTCACTGAGACCCAGATCTCCCTGGTTATAACTCAGGGGTGGCACTGTCCTGTAGGAAGGAAAAGGGTGAGGGATTCAAAGGGGTAGAGATGTCTGGAGAGAGAAGGGTTCCTATCACTCACCTCTGACACACAGAGTGAGGGGGCAGGGAGGGGAGGAGCCCTGCTTTCCCCTTTACCTCTGAGTGGAAGTCTCTGTCTCCATCCCTGCTCCTGAGCCACACTAGAAAAATAGCTCTGGGAGAGGAAACATCTGAAATTATCAGGAAGATTAAAGGTAGAGGGCAATGTTATCAGCCCTTTGGGAACGGTCAGGGCAACTGCTCGCGCGTAGGGGAGAGGTGGGATTCACAGAGAAGGCACTGGAGACAGTGGATGGCAGGACAGAAGGCTTTCAGAATGGGAACTCACAGACCTTTCTCAGACAAGAGCAGGAATACGTGCAGTTTCACATGACAGGAACATGTGCTTCTTAGTGAAAGGCTGGAGGAGGTTCATGGTTCATTGGGAAGGAGGAGGAAATCACATTCTCCCAAGATGGGCAGAGATAAGGAAGGAATCTTGGGTCCTTGAAAAGCGTGGCTGATGTATGATTATTCTAGTCCTGGGACACAATTCAAGGGTCTTGGCAGTCATTTCTCATTTCCTCAGCATTTCTTGCTCTGGAATCATCCCTCTCATAAACCCTTCTCTGAGATGGTGCAATGGGGGAAAAGGATCAGCCTAGAAGAAGAGACCAAAAGGTGTGAAGTTTTCTCCTTTAAACACAAAGCTGAGAGTTTTATGGTGGCAGTTGCCCAGGATGGGAGCTCTTCAAAGTCTCATGGTATGTGTACCTGCTGGTCATGGGTCTCTAATCCTTTGAGCTAGACCTAGGTACCCTGAAGCAGGTAGAATAGATAATAGGGAAATTCTGGGGAGGAACAACAAACTGGGAACTGAATCTGACACCTGACAGCGTTTGTGGCCATCAGGCAACCTCATGAGACCTTGCGAGACCCCTGCGGTTTCTCACGGCCACAAGAATCCTGTTGTTGCTCAACAGCACTCATGTGCACACAGACCCAGTTAGCTTGCAAGTGACCGAGAATGACCCCTTCACTGGGGGCGCTAGAGGGACAATAGTACATTTAGAGTATATTTGAAGTCTTTGTCAGAAAAATCAGACTGAGCCTGTGTATCATAGCTAACACTGAGCATACGTAATGATATACAGAGTTCTTGGAATTCCCTGCCTGTTCCCAGAGCCTCATGTGACTTTTCTGTGCCCAGATTATAACCACCTTTAAGAATCAGAGCCTGGGTGGCTCAGTCGTTGGGCGTCTGCCTTCGGCTCGGGTCATGATCCCAGGGTCCTGGGATCGAGCCCCACATCGGGCTCCCTGCTCAGCGGGAAGCCTGCTTCTCCCTCTCCCCCTGCTTGTGTTCCTGCTCTCACTATCTCTCTCTCTGTCAAATAAATAAATAAAATCTTAAAAAAAAAAAAAAAAGAATCAGAGCCCCACATCCACCCAGGGCGACTCAGATCCTTTCTCTAAGTGCACCTGCACTTCCTCTTCTCTACTGTGTACTTTTGCTTTGCAATAAAACTTCTTCTGATATACTTACTCTGACTCATCCTTGAATTCTTTCTCTGGCAAAGTCAAGAATCTGGCACCGGCTGGTGGTTGAGGTCTCCAGCACCAAGAACTCCAACGTCTCTGGTATCAGACCAGTCAAGATTCAATCAGAGAAGCAGAACCACTAGGGGAATATATATATGACATTATCAATAAATAATGGGAACTGTCTTGTTCTACATAGAGTCAAAAACGTCAAATACTGGTAATACATTGTATATACACATAAATTTATGTAAATGTGAAGTACAAGTGAGCAGGGACAAGCTGGAGCCCTTGAGCACGAGTGGGACCCTGTGAGGATGAACTGAAACCCATATCAGTTCTCTTTGCCTCTGGCCTTGGTGGTATGGGCATCCTGGAGAAGCTCAGGCTCTTCATCTAAGAGTGAAACACACACCTGGCTCAAGAGTTGCCTATGTTGGAAAAGGATTTAGGGGATGTTAGGGCAGTTGTAGGCCTGACTACTCCCTCACACCAATGAGATGTACCAGCAGATAAGTGAGAACATGTGCAAGCTACAAAGCACCCGCCAGCTTCCCCTCCATTGCCAACACGCACCCAACCCCAGTCTCCCACTGTGGCTCACCCTAACCAGAAACACACAGGAAAGGGAATTCCAGAAAATGTCGCTCATCCTAATCAAGTTGCTACATTACAAAGTCACCACAGTCCTCTTCTGGACCACTTGGCATTCATACACACTCCTAATACCATATTTAATCTCCAAATAAAGACAATAACAAAGTCATGCTCCCATCTAACATAATACAACTATCCGGGGTGCAAACAGAAATACTCTTTCTCTGAAAGAGGATATAAAGTTCTTTTTTTGGCTCTGAGTAATTTTCATTCTTCCCCTAGGAGATTCATACTCCCCCTTTTGTATCTTCTGCTTTAAATACTATAATATAAAGTTAATATCTATTTATACAGTTGATGTAAGATGATAAGCAGAAGACAGAAAGAAAAATATTCAGTTAATATGCGTCTGAACATTCAGACTAAAATAAGGAATATTCATAACTATTATAGTCTTGTATGCAACTGGTCACAGAGTCGTAGCTGGTTTTTCTACCTTCTTCTACTACCTTCCCTATTTTTGCCTTCAACACTCACCTCAGCTTATTGAGCTTCCTTGCCTAGTGGTGGATAACCCAAACCTTCATTGCTGTAGGGTCAGGGCCCTTAGTAGTCCTGTCTGAATGGGGTTGTTGAATTTAATTCAGAACATGGAAATACTAAGAAGTGGCTCAGAGGATTATCTGCAATCCAGATATACTCCTCCTGACCATTCCTGTGTAGTAGCAACCCAGTTTTCCCTTGATAGGCAGGGTCAATTACCTCAATCTGTAAAGTAGCTCTCCCCACCCGCCTCTTTCTGGCCTGTTGATTCACTTGCACACGGAGCTCCAAATGGCCAGATGGCAGTCGAGTTCAGCGGAATCATTGTTGTGCTGCTAGTGGAAGCATTTCTCCCTTTGGAACTAAGACCTCTAGCCCAGCAGAATCTAAAGTTAAGGGAACAGAGAGCAAAATTTTACTAGTAGATCACTAGGGGGCTTAATAAGTGGTGCAAGTTCCATTTGCCTTCTAAACCTCTGAATCTTGGCTATGGAGAAATAGCACCATATGCTGATTCAGAGTATATTCTGCACCCTAGAGGGGACTGTTCCACCCCTTCAATATTTTACCACCTACCCAGAGCTGGTGGTAACTGGGTCTTCAAAAGACCATTCCATCATCGGGCCCAGGTGGTCATGTCCCTATGGACTAGATTATAGGCTAGAACTGGAGAGTTTCTATAGCCCTGATGTAGAACAGTGAAGGTGAATTCCTGGCCTTGTCAGCTGAAAGAAAACTACTTCTGACGGTCTTATTAAGATTTATAGAGAAAAGGGCATTTGACCAATAGCTGTATATACCAGGTCCCAGGAGATGTGCCGATTTCCTCCAACAACAAAACCACAATCTGGAAGAGGAGCTACAATAGAAGTCACCACCTGATTAAGTTTAAGACAGCCACAGCCCAGCTGTTTTCCTCAAAGGCATACTATTATAGGCTAGTTGTACAAAGATATGGTAGTGGTACTCACCATCTCTCAGGTTCTTGATGGTGACACTAATCTCTTCAGTCTCTCCAGAAATGTGATATTGCATTTGGTTTCCTATTTTCCTAGGTATAGAGTACTAGTGACTCCCACCTGGCTTTTCCTACCATAATAATTCTCACTCTACAGATTAAGGAACCAATGTGGGGATTCTGCTGAGTACGTCTATTCCAACAGTGCACTCCAGAACTGGGGAAATAACCACAGGATGGACCCACTGGGCCCACTTTGAGATGGATCTGAATCAAAAAGCCATTAGACATTTGACCTTCAGAACCCCCTACTCAAGTTGGTGGACCACAGTGACACCTCAGACTTTCAGGAATTATTGTCAAGTCAGACCCTGTGTCCCACAATAGCTGGAGAGCTTGTTTCTCCTTCCTTAATGCACAGTCACCCCGGTAAATAGTTACAGGTCCTTTTGGAGAAGGCAGGGAGGGAGGTAAACAACATAAATTTTTGACAGTGTAGCAGGCTTTTTCTTTAAGGACCCACTGACTCTGGGTTGGTAAATCAGCTGAAGTCTGGGAATTGATTGAGAGGCTGTGACTCTCTAGTTTGGTGATGTAAGCCAGATTTCTGTTCACTAGACTTAGAGCTTTTCTGCCTATACAGATAAAATAAGACTTTAATAGGTTCTCTAACTATTTTAGTCCTAGGGACAGCATGATCAACCAGCCAATGCCAAAGATCTCTGTGAGCCAGACTATTTTGATTACTGCTTTGATTACTCTTCTGTCACTTGGCCCCACAGAATCCTAACATCCCTATTGCATTTAGGAATCACAATTCACACCCTAATATCTGACTTACAGAGAACAGCAACCACAAACTGTTTCAAGGATGCTGGGGGAGAAGGTCCCCTCATGAATTTATTACAGCCTTAGTGAAGGGTGTATCCTCTGGGCCCTTCCTGAATGGATGAGGAAGTCTTATGTGATCAGTCCATTCTAGCTTTCTAATCTCCTTAGGCCTTTGAATACCTTCCTATACAGTACACCAAGGAAGTTATGCTATTTCATCTTCATTTACCATAGACCACCTTGGGATACATATTTTGGTTAACCAAGCAAAATGTTAGAGCTATTCCCATATTCCCATCTCCTTGAGCTAAATCATCAAAATAGGGATTCTCTGCTCAGTGAGCCTGTATTAGAGTTCTCAAGAGAACTAATCAGATGTATACACACGCACATATAAATAAAGAAATTTATTATAAGGAATTGGCTCATGCAATTATGGAGGTTAGCCAGTCCTAAGATCTGCAAGGTGAGTTGGCAAGCTGGAGACCTGGGGGGTGGGGGGGGTGATGGTTTAGTTCCAGTCTGACAGTGGGTAGGCTTGATACCCAGGAAGAATTGAGGTTTCATTTCAAGTATGAAGAGAAGAAAATGTTGATAACCTAGTTTGAAGGCTCTCAGGCAGGTGAACTCTCCCCTACTGAGGTCAGCCTTCCTGATCCATTCAGTCCTTCAACTGATTACAGGAGGTCTCCTCACATTAGGAAGGGCAGTCTGATTTACTCAGTCTGCTGACTTAAATGTTAATCTCATCCAAAAACATCATCACAGAAACACTCAGAATAATGTTTGGCCAAATATCTGGGCACCTTGTAGCCCAGTCGAGCTGACACATAAGATTACCCATTACAGAGCCCTTACCAGTAAATTTAGCCTGATTCAAGTTTACATTTCTTCCACCTGAACTAAGGTAGGAGTGGAGAGGGAGTGGAGGAGAAAGGTAGGATAAAGAGTCAACACAATTTAATGACCTTAATGGTCACCACTTATATCATGATGTACATTCTACTGGGTCCCAAAAAGATTAGTAAGGCACCCCCCCTAATTAACAAGCCAGATAATTTTCCCCTTAATTTGTTTATCTTTGCATTGTTAGCTTTCAGCATTGAGGTGAAGAGATGACAGAATTGGGAAAGGATGTATTGTCACTTGGAGTCTATTCCTATTCCTTCTTTTTTGTAGGGAAAGTACCTTGGATTCCAGTTTCTTCCTCTTTGAATGGGATACTGCTTCATGGAAGTTGTAAGGATTAGAGAGACTGTAAAGAGCTTGGCATATAGTAGACATTTAATAAGTAGTTGGTATCTATTCTTTTCGTTAGACCTAACCATGAGAGAAAAATTTCTTCTCATCCTTTTTGCATGAATACTTTTGAGAACATTTTGGCTTTTAGTTTGTTAATTTCTCTCTACATATCCTGAATTTTGTATAATCAGCAAACTATATATTTAATACCTATATGCCATTTCTCATGGTAACTACTTGAAGGATCTGCAATCAGAGAGAGAACCAGAAGGTACTCTTCCTGGAGCATTAAGACATATCCATGATTGGTTTATTTTATATATCCAGCACCTAACAAGTCCTGAGTAATATTAGCTATAATAATTATTATCCAGGGATGGAATTAATTGATATTCTACCCTCTGTCCCCTATGCCTTTCCAGCCCCAACATTCCACAGATATACCATCATTTTCATTCCTATCATGAGATCTTACATAAATGCCTGGTCACGTTCCAAGTATAAATTTGTTGTGTGTAGCTGGCAAAATTAATCAGACAGAATCAGGATTAGGAAGACCCAGACACCTAATCTGTAATTCAGTCATTGGTCAAGATGGAATCTGAATATAAAAGGCTGGATTCCAGGTGCTTCAATCTGAGGCATCTCTCTGGTTAGGAGAGGTAATAAGAAGACCAACTAACAATAACAACCCTTGACCTTGCCTGCTGACTCCTTAAATTCTAACTTTTATCCTGTCCAGGCTTTCTCACGGGGGACACTGAAACACCCCTGGTTTTACAAAATGGGATTCTTGCTGCCCACCTCCCTTTCAGGTAAGATTGCTTCCATTTTCTGAGAACTCAAGTCAGGTAACAGATGATCAGTTTCTCCAGTACCTAAAGCTCATGTGCTCCCTGAACACCAAGCTTGGCATTCAGCCCTTATGTCTCCTTTCAGTGAGCTCAGCCTCTCTTGAATCAGAGCCAAATGAACTTTGTGAAAATGCACTTAGGGCTACTCACATTTAAATTTCCAACTTTTTTTTCTCCTTGGTATTTTGTTTCTATTTTTTATGCTCCTTTTTTTTTTTTTTTTTTGTATTTTATGTAGCTTTGTAAGCCATCTGCCATCCTTTCTGGAATGAGATGGCATATAAATACATACATATATGCATACATAAAATGTATACTGATATTTGAGAAAGACATATCAAATACAAATGCATCCTTCTAGGTCATATTCAAGACAGAGAAGGGGAGAGGAAGGGAAGGAGAGCTATATTTTTCAAAATATATATGCCAGTATTCTTTCTGATCCTTCCTTACCCCTACCTACTCTTAGGGATCCAGGTAATATTAGAATCATGGTAGAGGGAAGATTTGCATTTTGAAAAATTCTCCCAGGTGATTGTGATTTACCTCTTTGTCTCCCAGTCCTCCACCCATAGCTCAGTGACACATCTCCAGATTTTCTCAGCTTTCTTCCTGCCTTTGGTCAGAAACAGCCCACTCCACCATATTAGCTCATCTCTCCATGGAAATGCCATTCCGGAGTTATGATGTAGCGTTATGCCCTTGGCTTTTAGAGAAGGATAATATAAGAAACAGACAGTTGAAGGGCACGTCTAAATCTTTTGCAAAGCCTTAGATGAAGCCATTGTGCATTATGTGACCAAATGTCACCCAAATAAAGATTTCTCTTCATAATTCCTCACAATACTCAGTGCTAGAGAAAAATTTGACTCTCCGAGAAAACTTGAATTCTGCCTGTCAATAGATGAGGAGAATTACTGTGCTCATGATGCTCTCATTTTTTCCCCGTTATCTACCAGGAGATTTTATTCAATCCAGCAAATAGTGGATGCTGGGTACCAGGTTACATACTATATTACAAATATTAGTAGGGCCGGTTCTGGGCTCTGGGACTCTTAAAGTCTACCAGATACAGAGCGAAATATGTGTGCAATTATACCCATGCTTTCCTCAGATTACTCTTATAATGCTCTCTCCCTTTTTCTCAGTAGTTCCTGTAAAGCCTTGTTCTCTAAATTTTTAAATGCCTTGTTGTATTCATATGTGCTTTTTTTCCCAGTAGAAGACAGAATTTTGGAGGGGCTTTCTGCTTTGTTTGTTTTTGGCTGTTCGCTGTCCTCTATTTTCTTTTCCTTTTTTCCCCTGTCTTATATTTTTAATTGCCCTACACCACCTTTTCAGAGCATGGTCTCTTTATAAGAGTCTCATGTGCAATGTACCCCTCTTCCATGGCCACAGCTGATTGAACTGGAGGTGAACACTTGGCCCAACCTGGGCCAATCAGGTTTCCATACTGGGAATTTGAAGTTGGAGCACTGAGAAACAAGTCAAGTGGTCCTGG